GAGCTATAAGAAATTTCTGTTGTTTATAGTTCTGAAGGTTGTTTATAATATCCCAATTTATGTTATTTTGTTGTATCAGTCCAAACAGATTATGTCACATATGAAAAAATAATGTAACTTATTGTAGGTCAAGCATAATCAAATAAATATTTATGTGCTTGGTTTATTACTTTAAAATCTGCTAGATTTCACTCATTCTGATTTTCTCCTTCTTCTATGTCTCAAAGAGGAACTTCTCTTAAAGACTGGGAGGCATTTGATTGTATCTTTGTATGTTCTTATCATTCTTAAGAAAAATTATTCTCAAGCCCAGCAGGTGGGATGGTGGTTAAGGTGCTGGACCATGGTTTGAGTCACAGACTTGGATGCTTGCTTTCTTTCTCTCTCTTTCTCTCTCTCTCTCTTTGACTCTCTCTGGTTAATTTGAAGAACAATAACAAATAGAAAAAATAAATAAGTAATTCTTTAAAAAAAAGAAAGAAAAACTATTCTCAATGTCCATCTGGTTGCTTCTTTCTCTCAGCTTACATTCACTGAGTGCCTACTATGTGCAAAGCAATTCTTATCAATGCCTTAAGAAGCAGATGTTAACATCATCCCTTCTTTGGGTTAAGTTTAAGATATATTCAACAGAAAACCCAATATTAGCTTCAATAGACATGGATTTCTTTTTTTTCTTGGTGTAAAGTCTTCAAGAATAGTATGGCAGCTTTATAGTGCTACATGTGACCCCAAGTCTTAGATTAGATGCCCTAGAAACAGACCTTGAGCTAATTATTTATGAGCACATGATTTATTGTGTGGTTCCAAGAAAGACTGCGAAGGGAGTCAGGGCACAGCAGGGAAAGACAGGAATCTAAGCAAGAAAATGACCCTAGGCTATGCCCTGTAGCAAAGATGTTAAGGAGAGGACACTAGATCTCACATGGCTGTCCAGGGTTTGCATCCAGACTCCAGGGACTTAAAAAACAAGCTGAGGGGCACCATCAAAAAGCGTAACGGTGGGACCAGCAGTTAGTGTAATGGCTATGTCACTGGACTCCCACACAGCCAAATGCAGTTTGAGTCCTGGACATGGTGGCTTCAAACTCACACCAGGTGCATGTGCATGTTTACCCAAAATCTGGAGGGGAGAATGGAGGAGAAGGGATTGCGGCGTGGCCATCCCCCCAGGGGATGATTTCTCACTTTCTGTCCTCTGTCTCTGTCTTTCCAGCAAGCACACATGCCCTATAGCAAAAACCTCTCAAAAAAAAGAAAAGAAAAACAACAACAAAAAGCATAATGGTTACATTACATCACTGGACTCCCACACAGCCAAATGCAGTTTGAGTCCTGGACATGGTGGCTTCAAACTCACACCAGGTGCATGTGCATGTTTACCCAAAATCTGGAGGGGAGAATGGAGGAGAAGGAATTGCAGTGTGGCCATTCCCCTGAGGGATAATTTCTTGCTTTCTGTCTCTCTGTCTCTGTCTCTATCTCCAGGGAGCGCATGCACCTTATAGTAAAAATCTCTCTAAAAACAAAAACAAAAAACTGGGGCCCAAACGTCCCCAGGATACTGACACCATGCAGAACTGGAAGAAAAAAGACTGTAGCATGACTAGGCTCTGTTGGAGAGTGTACTTGGACTCTCTTTCTCTGTTTCTGTCATTCACTTACACACATGCATATAATACCTGGCATTTAAGAAATAAAAAAATAATACAATCTCATACTGAAGTCTAGCATTGAGTATCTTCAGCATGAACCCATAGAGAGTTTCAGAGTGTAATTTAAGGCAGAGTTGTTAGACCCAAGATAAGGGAGCTGCACTTTTAAAAAAGCCTTGTAAGGGTGGTGGGAGGAATGTAAACTGACAAACACCTGTATCTCTCTGTGAAAGAGGGCAAAGCAGCTATCTACCCTACAGGCAATAATTATTAGAATAGCTTCAAGTGCTGGATATTAAAAGTACATAGAAAATGGTAATGATGGTGTGGGTCTATGGTACTCATGCAAGTGGTATCCAAAGATCCAGTATAAATGAATCTAAGGGAATTTGGTTAGAACACTAGCATTGTCCACTGTACCAGGGTTCTTCTATCTTTCCTCTCTGCCATTTTTTAAAAACGTTTTTGTCATAGGGCATGGGCTTGCCAGAGAGAAAGAGAGAGAGAGTCACACACACACACACACACACACACACACACACACACACACAGAGAGAGAGAGAGAGAGAGAGAGAGAG